GATTTGTTACATTCACACATGGCTCTTATTAGCCTGTTTCAACATGTACTTCTATAACAACTAATTTAGCACTACTATACATTTACCTTTACTCTTAATGTTGTAAAATGAGTTTGTTTTATAGTTTTTTAATATCTGATTCTTCCCTTTTTCTCTTACTTTTAATATTTGTATCCTCCAGCGAAATATGATTACGGTGGCCAATCTCACGGAGGCTACCCATCTACGTAGTACAGAACTCAAATAAATAATTTTGTAAGAAGTCAGTAACAACACACAGTTATACATTTTTTATTAGACCCTAAATATTTTATTTAAATATTTTATCTTTACTACAAAATATTTTATAATAATAATAATTATCTCTCCTCATCTAGACTCGAATTAGAGACTGATTTAGCAGTGTATGAGGCAGTGGAGTACGATCCTTAATCATCTGGGCGAGTGGATTACGGTTGCAGAAAACCACATACGGATAAGGAGGGTATCTTCCAGGGTGGTTGTTTGAGTCCAATCTGGTTCTGCCTCTCTCTAAACCCTCTCAGTACCTTACTGGTGGGCTCTGGGAGGTGATTTCACTTTCGGAAACGAGGTCCAAAAGTTGTTCGCCTCCAGTCGCTCCCATCTTGTGAAATTGCTAAACCTCACTTGTGATTTTAACAATTTTATTAGAATGGAGCTGGGGTCGTCTAAGTGTGCGGTCCTCCATGTTGAAAGGTGTAGGGTTGCTTATTCTGAGAGCATTATATTATCTATTTCCATCAACATAAATACCCTTTCCTAGGCTGAAACTTACCGATACCTGGGTATGTCACAAAATATAGGTTTTGATGAAGCAGACATGAACATTCAGTTTGAGATCTGTTTTATGCACGCTTAACCAAAGTGCTTAACAGGCTTTTGTCGGGCGTGAATAAGACACACGCATATAACGGTTGGGTCATACCTGTACTTATGTATAATTTTGACATACTCAAACCGAACTTAAAGTCTGCATTACCATGGCGTCCCACAAGATGCACCATCTGAGTTCGTCGGTAATGAGGATCTACTTGCCGTGAAAGTATGATGGGCGTAGTTTTTAGGCGCGCTCATTACGCATAATCGCGAAGTGTGCAGCCTCTGTAATTACTTCCTGACGATCGGATCACCCATTCTATAAGGACGTCATTTCTTGTAATAAAGGGCTTACCCCTCTATTGTTAGCGAACTTTATAGTGAGCAATGGTAAGGCCCGGTTGTTAAAAGCATTTCCGACCGTGAGACCGTATGGAAAAAGAAGGAGCTCCGTGGAAGGTTCCAATAGGCTCTACATGAGCCTCTCGTAAATACGGTCATCTCCCAACACTGGCTTTGTTTATGCAATACATGATCGGTTTCTTAAAACCAACAACCATGGGATATACATTTTAAAGTATGGCGCCGTCGACATCTGTCGAGCTTATCGCCATCCCGGTGAGTCACTTAGGCATGCCGACTCCGGCTGTTCGGCTCTTTCTAACTCTGAGTTAGTTAGTTGCACGGACACAATCTAGTAGCCAGGATTCTACACCAGCATCTCACTCTGAAATACGTTCTCTTAGATTGGAAACTGCCTTATCGTAAGTAGTTGCCGAGAACCGTGCTCAAAAATGACCGCACCAGGCTCTACTGGGACCGGGTAATCATAACACATCGTACCTACTATCCTTGCGAAAAAGCCTCATATTGTGCTGATGAACCGAGCACAGGCAAGGATAATTTTGAACGACATTAACATTCCATATGACAAGAACCGAATAACACATAAGATAACAAAATATACTCTTTAATTATACGATTGTGGGGGTGGCGAAATTATTCCTGTAGTCATCTCTACGAATGGGCTAATCCTGGTCAGCCACTCGGTTCATCTGAGGCGACTCGAGACACGATGGACCGTTCCGGGCTCAAACGCAAAAGGCGGTGCTCCTCGATACCGTCCGCATCGTCCGCCGGTTTCTTTTCCTTTCCCCCTAACCGTATACATCATCACTAAATTTCTTGGATACCCTATTTAATACTTACATTTAACATTATATACGTGTGTGTGCTTGTGTGTGTGTGTGTGTGTGTGTGTGTGTGTGTTTGTGCGTGTACATGTGTGTGTGCGTGTGCGTGTGCATGAGCGTTTGCATGTGCGTGTTTGAGTGCGTGTGCGTGTGCATGAGCGTGTACTCGTGCGTTGGCGTGTGCGTGTGCGTGTGCGTGTGCGTGTGCGTGTGCGTGTGCGTGTGAGTGTGCGTGTGCGTGTGCGTGTGCATGTGAGTTGGCATGTGCACGCACGCATGCCTGCGCGCGTGTGTGTGGGTGAGTGTGTTTGGCAATTGCTTTCAGTGACAATTATAAAATGAATACAAAATATTAAGGAAATATAAAAAGAATTTGTATATAAATATATCACGACATTTATTACATACATTTATTAGTTTCTACTTTATGTATTTATTAAGCATCTTCGTTTATTTTAGACATTAAGCACTTTTTCATTTTAACTTACATGCTGGTGGTGCAAAGGTGCTGTTATGGTAATTACAGAAGGGAATAGTCAGTGACTCACCCGATAGCTCAGCTCTCTTGCGTGCGGTTGCTGGTCTTTTCTTCTTGTTTGCACCACTAACTCGACAATAGTTTTTGTAAACTTCTATCGGTGTAATCACAGGCGGTGTCCGATGTTACTCGTAAGTGATCCGAAAACGAATTGAAAAAACGGTCGTTGTCTTTTACATCGAATTTTCTAGTTGCAGCGCTAGCTATCTCTTTTCACCAACTCTTTGGGATAAGGAGTGGGAAAGGGATGATAAATAATAAACATAATTACATGATGATAATTTGATGTGATTGGTGTATTCATTCAATTTTTAAATATGTGCGAAAATGGCGTTAACACATGCCATCTATATATAAAAATATTTTTTTTTTCAATTTAGAACAGACTGGCAAATTGCCCTTCTTGAAGTATGCATAGTATTTATTTCGAGTAGTAAATCAAATATTTCTGCTATTTGTTTTAACTGTTTTAAACTCTAGATATTTATATTGTTCTATAATTGGCATTAAGTACTTAAGTTTTACCGTTACAGCCTATTAAAGTATACTAATGAACATAGGTTTCCCCCATAGCAATCTATCCCTTTCAGACCCACTACGAAACTAAATGAGTTAGTGTTAAAAAATAGATATTCTTTATCGTTGGGGATCAGAGAATACAAAAACTGAAGACTTTCAGTGATACAATGTGTTTTCAGGACTTTTCAGGGGGGCGTACAATTGTATCTACTTGGGCCCTACTCATTCCACGTCACAATTGTGACGGTCACAATTGTGTCGATGTGGGCCCAACTCATTCCGAGTCACAATTGTGACGGTCACAATTGTTTTGATGTGGGCCATATTTCTAGCCACTAATAATTGTAATTATATTAAGTTATTGCATTTTTTCAAATTATTCTTATAAATTAAGGTGAATAAAAAGATGTGATGTGTTTATTATGTCATTTATTTTATATTGTCTTAATAGTTTAATCTCTAACTTAAAACCAAGTTTAACATAGAATTAAAAAGAAATATTATTATTTTAGTTCAACAAACTTTTGCTTAGCATTAACAATAAACTTTATAATCAAATAAACGAAAATATTTTCTTAACCTTAGCATAATAGGAGCAACATTTTTTTTGTTAAAATTAAAAGAAAAACATCATAACATTATTCAGAATTTTTGTTTAACAAGCGTTGTGGAACTTATAAAAAATTTTTTATCCTTAGTTATACATAAATATACATCGCATTTCGAACATCTTGCTCGGGTTCTACTGGTGCAATCAGGCAACCTGCATTTGCAAGGAGCTTTCAACGTATCGAACATTGGCTAATGATTGTAGCCATGTCATATCTTTTGTCAGGTGTCGGCAATATTGCAGGTTTGTACTCAGAAATAGTCGGTATCGGGGCTAATTCTAAGTCATCGCGAGTCCTTGTTCTAGTCGGTCCACTTAATAAATACTCTACATTGGATATACGAAATGCCAGCAAGTCCATGACCTAATTTTTACGCATATTCGCTTCGTTCGTGCGTCTTCTCGATACTCAAACCAGGAGTTTACGATAGCGAGATCAAAGAGATGAATTATGACCTTTACAGTCCACTTCTTGGTTTTGAACCACGTCCTATAGTTTTCAATCATCTGGTCGCACAAGTCTTGCCTCCCATGTTGTTGTAATTGGCGACGATGGAAGGACAAGGAATGTTCTTGTAAGTACGTGTTTGTTTGTCCCATCGACTTCCAGTAGTACTCGGTTCAGCTTCGTGAATCGTTGAAGCCAACAAAACCACTTTTGTTATCTTTCCACTTGACCGTGCAAAGTTTTCCATTTGGACTACAAACTTCTTCGAAATCTCCTCGTTTCATCGCTTGATTCTTCTTGAATGTATACCAGGTTTTTTTTTGAATCGGTTTGCCATTATCGTACCCGTTCCATCGAAATTGCTATTAATTAGTTCTTCCAGTAAACCAATCGTTGTAAAATAACGATCAAAATATAAACTTCCACCAGGTAATGTTCCTGTCAATCGCAAAACAACCGCAGGACCTAAGCCAAATAACCTATCAGGTAAGTTGGTGGTTGGGCCTTGACATATCTCAAAGTCCAGGGTCAATCCTTGTGCAGTCGTATCTAGGAAATTTTTCAATCCAACTGGCCTAGGCTTGTTTGCTACATACTCTCTCTGTGCGCAACTACCTGTGAATGGTATCATCTATTCATCGTCAAAATAAGTTGGGCTCTCGCGTGGCAATGGATGGCAGCGTTTTCTAACTGCATCTATGACTGCTTGCACCTTCCACAATTTATTAGCAGACCGTTCATTTTCGTCAACTCTGTTAGGATCAACTACATGTAAATTGACCTGTAACATAAAAGAGCGCTCACGTGACATAGCATTAGCTATTGGGTCGTATCAAAATTTTCATTCGAGGGCATTTAATGCAACTCATCATCCCGTGAACTCCAAAGAATTTTTTTTATTTCATTAGGTGTACATTCCAGCCTCATTTGCTGTCCTTTTTCGGCCATGTAATATTGCGCAGTACAGATCGCAATTTTTTTCAAACAGTTCGGCATCAAAATAATTTTCGAAGTACTCCGCAGGTGATTTGGGCGGTTCATTACTTGAACTTTCTTGAGCTTGACTAGTAGTCTTCCCTCGAAAACTTTTTTTGTCCATTTACCATCACTTTGATTGGTAGCCACCCTCACAGATGAGAGTGGGACATCATCCACGTAGGAGTTATTATCTTCATCATTTTGCACATATAAGTCATCATCATCTTCATCAACATCTTCCAAGTCAGACTGTTCTAGTAACTCCCCAATTGCGTTGTCATCGAGGCTAAATAGCGATTCCGCCATGGCAATGTACTATCTAGTTGGGCCCGGAGTGATACAATTGTGACGTTAGACTTCAGTACCACTTTTTCTTAAGAATTTTCTAAAAATACAAACAAATTCATTGACTGGTACGTAAAACAGTTCATTAATAACAATAAACAACAATCATAACGTGATAAATACATAATTGTATGGTAATTTTGATTACTCACGCGCAGCAACACCTCAAACAACACCAACAGCGAAATGAATGAGTTTAAATCTGAACTTCGCGACGCTTGCTAGCTATCTCACTCATACCTATAGACAGAGCATATCCGTCACGATCGTGCGGCCGCGGGCCCTTTCACATAACGCCTAAAATACCGCCAAAACTTTACTTTGACTTAACGTCACAATCGTGTTGGCCTGGGCTGAAAGGGCTATAGGCAATTGTAAGACAATTCTCATTAGGAGGATATTGACCACACATAGCGGGACCGATCCGACCGGAGCAAGTTTTTACCAAACTTACACTTTGTATTTTTTTATAACATTTCAATGCATTTTCTTAATTTCAATAAGTAAATAGAAAAAAGAACTTAAATTATTTTTATTCAATAGAAGATTCAATACAAAATTATAACATTAATGTTGTTTATTAACACACATAATACAGTAATAAATAAAAAACAGATGATTTTTGATTTAAGCTCCCTCACTCTGCTGTAGACTCATATTTTATTCATAGTTTATGAGGCATTTCCAATTTGTATCGAGTTTCAACATAATTATGCTGAAAAATTTTCTCTGAACTTTATTCTATGCATATCAAAATAAGTAAAAGAAAAACATTTTACGTCAGAGGCCGTAGTAAGAACAGGGTTCAATGCGTTCAAAACAATTAAGTGATTATTTAGGGCACTGATACGGGACTACTGTGGTATTGCAGCTCCTCAAAGATATTGGGAGAAAATCGTACTTATGATTCCTACACTAAAGTGTTTTATAAATAGTTTTTTGCGTATTGCGGCGGAAAGGTTATATGAACTTACTATATAATTAGTTGAATTAAATATATAATTAATTGAATTTTATACTCACAATCTTTTTCTTCTTCATCATCAGCCTGCAAAGTTTCACTGCTGGACGTAGGTAAGTTCTAACTACGAACGTAAATTAAAATAAGTAATAATTTTCCTAACACTTGAATATGTGAATATCCACAGCAAACGATTGCTATTTCTATGAAAGTCAACTTCTTAAATTTTCATTATGTTCTTAGTTAAAATTTTTAAAAAGCCCTGCACTTATAAAATTTTATGGAGGTACTTTATGGTGATGCTATTTTTAATAGCACAACTGTTCTTTTTAACATTTTGCTAAAATGGGGCAGTACTCATTTAGAATTCAGAAATGGCAACATTGAATCAAGTTTTACTCGTAAAGTTTTGATTTCTCATGGTTAAGTCAAGTATCAATGCCTCTTGTTTCATAGTAAATAAGTAAATTGCGGTAATTTTTGAATTATGGTGTTAAAATCCCGAGAAATTGTGCAATTGGATCACTAGCTTTCTTGCTGATCGTAGCACCAAGGTCGTTGTAGACGGTGCATGCTCCGATCACAAGCCTATTAATGCTGATGTTCCACAAGGCTGCGTGCTATCACCAACGCTGTTTCTTCTGCATATCAATGATATGTAGTAAACCGGTAACATTCAATGCTATGCGGACGATAGCACTGGTGATGCTCTATACACCGGCCGTACCAATATTTCTAGGGAAAACGTCACCGAGTACCGGAACAAACTTTTGTCTGAAGTCGAGTCTTTGCTGAACAAAGCCTCGGAATGGGGGCGACTAAATTTAGTCCGGTTTAATCCTTAGAAGATTGTGTCTTCTGAGGATTAAACTGGAATAGAATTTATTATTATTAAAGTTTAAATTGTTTGTCTTTGAAGTATTCTTAGTTTAATACTCAGACGACACAAGTTTGCGCTTTTACCGCAAAAAAAAAACCCTTTGTCGTATCTCCTCAGCTTCAAGGAACCCCCAATGTTGCCTCAGCTAGTATCGGAAACCTCGGCGACGACATATCGAGTGACGTGCAGTTTCCTGATCACTTGGAAGAGAAAACCAAATTGGCCTCTAAAAAGCATGACGTGCTCAGCAGAGTGGAACAGTATTTCATGCCGGCACACCGCCTGCAACTGTACAAGGCGCAGGTTCGACCTCACATGGAATACTGTTCCCATCTTTGGCCTGGAGCACCCCAGTGTCAGCTCCTTCGACTTAACCGCATCCAGTGCAGAGCGACTCGCTTCATCGACGAATAAGTCCTTTCTGATCAGTTTGATTCACTTGTGCTGCGAAGAGATGTTGCATCCCTTTGCAATTTCTTTCACATATATCACGAGGAGTGCTCTGAGGAAAAGTTCGGATTAATCCCAGCCGCCAAATTTCATAAACTTACATCTCGGAAAAACTCCCTATACCATCCACACTATCTGGATGCTTGGCGGACCACCACTGTACTTTTCACTAGGAGTTTTCTTTCACCTACGACCTCTCTGTGGAATAGTTTATCAACGGCGATTTGTCCGGATCTATACAACTTAGGGACCTTTAAGAGAAGAGCTTACTCCTTTCTAAAAGCCCGGCAATGCACCTGCAATTCCCCTTGTGTTGCAGTTGTTCATGGGCACCGGTAGTAATTTTCCATCAGTTGAGCCGTATGCTCGTTTGTGCCCTTTCCTATAAAAAAATAGTAATTTTGACAACACTTTTGTACTAATAGTTAAAAGCTTAAATGATAACTAGGAGCCCTCCCCAATTTCGCCTGAATATGTTTTATTAATGTAAATTGTATATTCCATCATTTTATTATTTTTTAAAAAAAAAATCTAATATTTCGAATAAAATTTAGTCCAGATCCTTCCTGGTGCTCTATCTGTTCCTAAAATTTAACGCCCACATGGTTCAGTAAAATTTTAAAAATGTTTATTCATGTCTTAGTAGCATTCAAGTTACCCCATGAGCTTAATGGAAGCCAATGTTGACTGTTTATCTCTCTGTTCGTGCTAATCTTCGCAATGGCATGGAATGTAAACTTTTCGAATAGATAGGCTATATACAGGGTTATTTTTTAAAGAATAACCAAATTTTATTTAAGTTCAAAGATATTAATAACGATATACTATTATTGAAGCTTTTGAAAATACGAGTAAATAAGGCTTTACTTTATTTGAAATTATCCCAAATGGAATGTGATTTATGGGCAGCAACGTTTTTGCCTACCGATCGACCCTTACGAATGTGTGCGTGTGCAGTAAAATCAGTTAAAACAATGCATTACCATGTATTTTGAATTTAAAAGATAAAAGGACAGAATTTTTGAGATTGATTTAAATTAATTTTTCTTCACCATTTGCTTATATTACTTATTTTAAGCCTTCTCTCTAAATCTGGACCGTTATTATAAAATAACCATGTATATAGATATATAAACATAGAATATGTATAAAAATATCTGACTATGAGACACATTAGTTAAAGGTGGCTTAATAGAATAAACTTTTTATTAATATTAGTGGTCGCCTAGTGATCTAAATTCCACCGTAATTCATATTTTTTTAGATTTGTATACTAAGCAAGTTGTATATAACTTTCAATTGCACATTAATATATTAAATTAAAATATCTGATAAACTAAAGGCTTAATAAATGCTTTTTACCAGCATTTTTGTAATGTGTTTAACAATGGCAGTATGTAAACATTCCAATATTTTATTTTATTTATATTTGTGTTGGATACAGATATAGCCTACAAGGACTGAAACTGTAAAGTAACGCGAATTCTAAGGTCGTGGGTTGGAATCCAATCCAATTCCACTACTATCAGATCCAATTCGACTACTGTTGTGATCCACTCCTAACACAAGCATTGATCTTGTGCGCTTAGCGGTAATATTATCAATTATCTTAAGTTATTATATTAGTGTTTATGTCATTAACTTTATAGTATTTAAAAAAAAAGATTTGCCTTGATCGGTTGTCAAGTCCAACATCTCGCACATGAAGTTTCCGTCACCGATCTTGATATTTTTTACAGCGAGGAATGGGTAGAAAACAAAAAAATTGTCTGAGGTAAAAGATAGTAATTTTTTTACATCAACGTGTAAAATTAGTCATTATAGTTTATATCATTCTATATCACTGACCTCTATATATATGCGTACTTGTATATACTATATATAGAGGTCAGTGTTCTATATATTCTATATATTGGACAATAAAATTCCTACACAAAACATTTTTTTCAACGGTTTATATTCCAAAACTGACGAAACAGACTATATATTATATACAAGTATTCCAATCACGATAATTTTGTACAGTTGACAGTTATGTCTATTAAGTGACAACAGTCATATAGTCTATGAGTAATATTTTGACATGACTTTACGTTTCGTATATTTTGTATTATAAATCCTATTTTAATGTCCTTTAAAATGGAAATGGAAAAAGGAATCGTCTATTCTAATCGAGTTCTGCTCGGTAACTGGTATGAAGCCACTAAGCTGGAAGAGGTTAGTCAATTAAACGAAATATTGGAATAAGTAATAGAAATGAGATCTTTATTATAAAAGAAAAACCATACATATATTTCTAGCACAAATTAAATAAATTTCTTGAGGAGATGAAAAATGGTGATTTACTACTGGCAAGATTTCGAACAATGACAAAAAATCTTAACCAACCAACAATATTGACACAATCAACAGGAGGTATCAGTTTTGGTGCACGAGTTACACTGCTTGCACCTTATGTTTCAGGTAAATATTTTAGTTAAATGATCGACATATACTTAAACTTTAAAACGTAAATTTCTCACACCAGTTTTGCTTATATTAGTAGGTACCTATACTTATGCGGACGTAAGTACATAACCTGCCAAACTTTCACATAATATTAAGGAATACCTTATGTATGCTGTGCTTATAATTGCCAGAATGGTTTCACGGAGGACATTATCAAAGTTTTTATTAAATTTTTATATTTGTACAGATAATTCTACCTATTATTTTACATTATGATTTCTTTTATCGTCTGAATTGCAACTATTGCCAATTTTATATCTATATGGATATATAAACTATTGGTTTTGAGTTATAGTTGTAAATTAGGCTAAAGGAATTTCTAGTAGGTATGTAATCATATATTTCCAATGTATTTGAAGCCAACTTAACGGCCCTGTATTACCCACAGCTGACAACGTTGTCTTAATCTTTAAATAAATTACTCCGTAAATTACTCTCCGAAAATTTTTAGTGTGTTTGAGTGGCTTCCTGGATGGTTCAAATTCAAAATAGGACAGTAGCGCTATCTTCGCCTTGTTCAGATCCAGAAATCACCCGTACGAAGCCGAGAAGAATCGCTAGTTTCATATAAACTGGTATGATACACTGTTATATGCCACCTAATTGTCATAAAAGATTCACATTCCCAAGGTACCGTAAAATGGGGTGAATAGAAATCGCGGGGTGTATAGAAATAAGTCTGGTATTTGATAAACTTGTCTCTAGGTTTTTTCAAGGTTACCAAAATAAAGAAGAAATGTTAGCATATAATAACCAATAGAAATAAACACACGTGACCGACCTGTAGAAAAACCTAGAGACAACTTAATGAAATAACCAGATTTGTTTCTATTCACCCCGTGATTTCTATTCAACCCATTTTACCGATACTCTCGTGAAGCCCGACTTAAGACTTTTCATTTTGCGAGTACTGGGCTGACTTCGTATGCACTTATTTATATTTATTTTTTATTTAAGCAGCTTAAATGAATGTAACACCTTAAAGTTAAGATAATATAGAGCGGATTTAATGCCATGTGGCATTCTTTACAAGTTAATCCTGGGCGCCACGTATGTACAATAACAGCTGTTCTCTTCGTTAAGTAATTGCTGATAATCTGTGACCACCTGTTATTGCTATGGTCATTTAATTTTAATATGTGGTAATCATCATTTATTTATTTGCTTTTTAAAATAAAACTCTAAATCTTCTTGCCGTGGTTGCAATTTATAGACATAAATCAACGAAATAAATCAACACATGTACAAGTATCCAGACCTAGAACAATTATTTGGAAGTAATACATACAATTATCTCCATGCGAGGATCGAACTCACCAGCGTGTGCGAATACTTTGTCTCTGTCGGCGCACGTCATCGCGCCTCGGTCAAAATGATGGACGCGTGGGGGCGCGGGCCGGTCGCTGGCTTCGCGGCGGCGCGGGCGCTTCTGTACCTCACTCAGCGGCGAGACGCGGTAGCAGACGGGCACACTTTATTTTATTTTTCAATTTATAATACGTTTGTTTAGAGGTTTTACGGCATTAAACCTATTGTTAATACAGTCCACTCATTTTATTTCTAAAGTCCCGATAAAGCCTAAACAGTATCCGTTATACTGATTTGTTAATGGATTTATCATTTTTTTTAATAGAAGAGGGGGCAAACGAGCATGCGGCTCACCTGATGTTAAGTGACGACCGCCGCCCATGATCAACCGCAACACCAGGGGAATTGCAGGTGCGTTGCCGGCCCTTTAGAAAGGAGTACGCTCTTTTCTTGAAGGTCCCCAGGTCGTATCGGTCCGGAAAAATCGCTGGTGGTAAACTATTCCACAGAGAGGTTGTACGCGGAAGAATACTCTTCTTAAAACGTACAGTGGTGGACCGCCAAGCATCCAGATGGTGTGAATGGTATCGGGGACGGACTTATCATATTAATATGAAATCAGCTATTAGTAAATTATGGTGAATATAAGCAAGTGAAAATCACATGGTCAAAGAATATGGTATTGTATAATTGGTCACAATTTGTTGTGATTTACAAATTTGAGTGAATATTCAGCAACAGAATATTTCACGCTCCGGCCTACATCCTTGCCGAATATTCGGAATATGGTATCCGACAAAATCGGTATCCTTTTTCTCTCTCAATAAAGAGTAATTTTTCTATTTATATGTATCACATACATAAAACATGTCGTAATTCACCTATGTTTTTACAGCCACCGATCCTCCGATAAATGACAAGAAGGGTCTTCTGTTAGGTGGTCGAATCTCTTCGAACGAAATTGATTACTTCCAAGACCTAGTTAATGGATGTTCAGTAGTAGGTTTTACAGGATTGGAGCCAGCCAACAGAAACACATTTGTTATTTCAAGCTCAGACTATTGCAATCGAGAAGGAGAAATTCTCAAATATAACCAAGAGTTTCTTCTTACTTTAGCTTCATCCCTAAACAAAAAGGTACACTAATTTTGTAGTTATGTAAAATCCGTAGTTCTAATTTTCTAAACCCAGTAGGGCTTTGTATTATTAGTAATATAATAATGATCACTTATTGACACACAACCAAGACCTGTAAATATCATTAGTGCTTATAAATTACAGTATTTTTTAAAATAAATTAATAATAATAAAATACGATAAAATGTCATTAACAAACTTACATCTTAACACTCTAGGCCAATATTTAAAAAAAATCATTACAATGTTGCGTTAAAGTTTGTTTAATCTCTTTTTTAAATTTGAGCAGACTACTTCTATCTTATCAAAGCATCAATACAACACACTATAGATAAACCTCGGAGAAAGAAATAATATTCGGAACCAATCATTATATTTAACCTTAAAAATTTGATAACTTTCCTAATTTAACCGACAAATTATCAAATTATTTTATACTGAGCCATCTGCATCCATCAACTTTCTCCATGTCTTACCGGGTCGCCACTCCATATAGTGGGGGGTCGCCCTACACGCCTATCGGTAAGAGGCTGTCACTCGAGAACCTTTTTTCCCCATCGGTTGTCAGTTATTCGTGCTATATGGTCGGCCCATTGCCACTTTAGCTTACTAATTCGTTGGGCTATGTCTGTCACTCTGATTCTACTGCGCATATCCTCATTTCCAAGTTTATCACGAAGAGAAACTATCCAGATGTCTATGCTCGGGCATAGCCCTCTACATAGCCCTAAGTTTAGATTCAGTGTGCCTCTAACCATTCGGTGATCGTTGCCAGTTTTTAACCTCGCGACCACTGAGATATCACTGAATAGTTGCCGTCTAGTCGTTATAATGAACTCAATCTATTTTTTTGTCGAACCGTCGGGGCTCAACCAGGTCCACTTCCCGTGGGGCCGCTTCTGAAAGTAAGAGTTCATCATAAAGAGTCCTTATTTCTTCTTGAAGTTGATCAGCTGCTTGCCCCTTGGGTTCCGTTGCCCTATACCGAATTTCCCTACCTTCATTTCACCGTTTCTCTTAGGCCTAGTTCTGCGTTGAAGTCTCCCATTAACACCATATAGTGGGTCTTGGAGGAACGCATGGCTTTAGATATGTCCTCATACATTTCCTCCATCTGATGTGCCGAGTTTGTTGCGTAAACCTTTATGACCTTCAACAAATATCGTTTGGTGATTCTGAGTATAAGGTACGCAACCCTCGTCGACACACTCCCAATCTTTACAACGTTGTTAATGAGAGACTTTTGGACGATAAATGCAACACATCCTTGGGATAGATAGTCACCTACCCGGTGATAGAACAAGTAGCCGAAAGGGGGAGGATACGGTAATCCTGGAAGGATTACCGTATCCTCCCCCTTTCTTTAGAACTCAGATAATCCTATCATATCCCAGCGCAACTTATCTATCTCTTCTTCCAACTCAAGGATCTTCTCGTCAGTCCTCAGGGTGCGTGAGTTAAATGTTACCAGTTCGAGTCGCCATAGGTGGCAGCCAAACCTCCACCAGAGATTCTTAGCACCCCTTGCCCGCCGTTACCATTGCTGCCACTGTAGCCAGGAATATCGGGGCCGCCGGGGACAGTGGCCGTTTATTTGTGCCTTTTCAGAGGCCATAGTTGCCACTCTTGGCGTTACCAGGAAGATGCTACTACCCACCTCCTGCCTATTTACCTCCATCTCCTCTTAGACCCACACACTTAAGCGAAGATATACGGTAGTGTATATTATTAACCGCCACGACACAGCATAAAGTTGATCTCAATGTAATACATACATACTGATATGCTGCGCAGTCTGATGTACATTTTTGGCAATCAAATAATTTAACCTTTACGACATTACTGTACTTAATAGATTATTAAAATAATATATTTAATCGTGTATTTATATTATTTACCTTCCAGCCTCTATTTATAAGATACGATCCAAACCCGATCCCAGGTTTGTGTGGCTTATATCCTCTATACTTGAGCGAGCATGCCGTCTCTAATACACGATGGCGTATTTTACCAATCCAAGGTCCAGATCTAACAAGATTTGAACAAGTAGGACAACCTGTTCAGGTGGGCTACTATCTTAATTATATTTTAAAAGTGCTAAAACACATGAACAATTTACAGGAAGATCACCAGAGAGGAAATATTCGTTGTAACAAAATTTTATTTTAAAACACTTACTAATCGCTCGATACAATGTTACTGCAGTTAAATTATTGTATCACTTTATTTGCAGGTTAACTCTGATATTGTAATCAATCATTGTTCAACAAATGTGAATTTAGGATTAAATATTGGTAGCTGGGCTATGGACTTCCACGGAAAGGTAAGAAGAGATCGGTGAAGATTGTTAAAGAATTTAAAAAACATAACAATATTTTTAACTTTTCAGGTATGTACTCCCCTGATGAGAACCTGTTTAGATGTATATGGGAGAGAGTTACCAAATAATATTTGGCAAATTTATGTACCTATATCAAATTAATATTATATTGTGATATATACTTACATTTGAAAAGCTACTGTTAAAATTCTTATTATTCTGTACAGCAATTTTACTGTAAATTCTTGGCAAATATAATCATAATGAGCATGTACTTGAATTAAAAATTATAATGCAATAAGTTGCTTATTTTATTTAATATTACTGCATTTGCTAATGATCAGAATCTTTGAATTTTATTACGTTCTATACACTTATAATCCTGTGAGAGTATTCAGATACATAATAAATGGAAAAACATTTACAAAAAAATATTAACAACGGATGCTAACAACACCCGAATTAAACACGAGCCAGAAAATCACCGACAACCATCGTACGGCCGGGCAACGTCAGTATCAAACGATTCAATGGATATAGGTACTATAGTACATTGAGTGCGAGAAAACCACAAACGACTATTTAAAGATAGTATTTTCTTTCCACTTCAAAAGAATGCAAATGCGTCATTTTTTACTTAGTTAAATATTTTTCTTTGTTTCCAAAAATATCTTTTTATTACTTTCAAGTTGACAATAATGGCTTTCGTCCAAAAATAACTTGCAACAAATTTGACGCGCCATTTGTTTCTCACACGGCTGATTCTGTCCTCTCTGGACAAGGAATTTAGTTCGCTCCATACAAATTCTATTTATGTTTAGAGCAGTATGCATCTACGCCAACACAGTGACAGTTTATTAGTTATTTAGATTATTAGTTAGATGCCCTTCTTGAATAAGCTGGATGGATGAAAAAAAAATCTTTTATATTGTGTATTGAATTTCAGAAGATAACAAAAATTATTTTTTTATACAGTTGCTCAATAAGTGGAGTATTGCAGGGACGTATAGCGTTGGGATGTGAGCTATTACATACTTGAGCTTTTTCTTTACCTTTTCCGAACTCGTGCGTTCTCTTTCAAAATAATGTCTATTAAAAAGAAAAAAAAAACAACCACGAAGTATTTAGTAAAAAAAATTTATAGAAGTTTTTATGATTCACGCAAATATTTCTAAAAAGAAGCTAATAATTTGTTTCAATATCAGATTTAATGATTTGATTCAATGAGTTAGGTTAGGTTTCATTTCATTTCATCTCATTAAATTTCATTGATTCTATTTTTTTGATAAATTTCATTCTCATATCAATAAAAAAAAACTACTGAAGACTTGGCTGTATGGGCAGAGTTCCCTTTGCTTACCCAGAATGGGTGAAGAAAATAAAAAATCTCTGCTTATATTCTTTTAAGGTTGGCACCATTTTCCAAAAATGTTCTTTGCGAGTTTAGTTGTTTGTTGCACAAAATGAGTAATTTCGACGATATTTTATTTGAATTAACACCACCGGAACTAAGTATGATTCCACAAAATGCTTCGGAAAACATTTTACCGGAAAAGTCAAAAAGTCACTACATATCTTCATACGACGAATTTATTGCTTGGAGAGAAGAGAAAAAAGCAAATAGTTTTTCCAGAAAAAATGTATGTTGGTATACTTCTTCGAACTCTCAGCTAAATTAAAACCTTCTACGTTATGGTCGAGGTTTTCGATGATAAAAAGTATGCTGGAAATAAGGAACAACGTGGATATAACAGAATACCCAAAACTAAATGCTTTCTTAAAACAACAATCCGACGGTTTTACAACTAAAAAAGTCGAAAATATTAACATCGAATGAAGTGTAAAGGTTTTTGAACGAAACTCCCGATGATCGTTATTTTTTTTATAGAAGAGGGGGCAAACGAGCATGCGGCTCACCTAATTTTAAGTGACTACCGCCGCCCATGATCAACCGCAATACCAGGGGAATTGCTAGTGCGTTGCCGGCCCTTTAGAAAGGAGTAAGCTCTTTTCTTGAAGGTCCCCAAGTTGTATAGGTCCGGAAAAATGCCACTGATAAACTATTCCACAGAGAGGTTGTACGCGGAAGAAAACTCCTTTTGAAACGTACAGTGGTGGACCGCCAAGCATCCAGATAGTGTGGATGGTATCGGGACGTTTGCCGCGTAGTGCGTTCACGAAATTTGGTGGCTGGGATTAATCCGAACAATTCCTCAGAGCACTCTCCATGGTATATGCGAAAGAAAATGCAAAGAGATGCAACATCACGAAATTTTTAAGATACTGCTGTTTATGGTGCGGTGTAAATGCCTCCACGATACAGAGGTAAATCCTTTTGTTGGAGTAATGTTTTGTGAAGGAATAAATAAATAAAAATCGATCATTACCAAATATATACCCATATTATTACTTTTACGACGTAATTGATTTAAATGAATTGGTAGTAGAACATACATATAGTTGTTCAGACAGATAGACATATTCAGCAAAACATAAAAAAGAAATTACTATTTTTATTATACGTAATAACATGAATTATTCATTGAATAAAACTATTATTTACGGATTTTATCGCGTTTAATTACTTTAATTTATTTTTATTATTATCCCGACGTTTCGGGTGCTTTACAGCACCCATGGTCACGGGGGGGACAAATAAATTAAACAAATAAATTAAAAATAAATTAAAGTAATTAAACACGATAAAATCCGGAAATAATAGTTTTATTCAATGTGTAGTGTTCGCGTAAATTTAAGAAATCATTATATGAATTATTCATTGTGAAGTGGTTACCGCCCACCAGCAAGCTGTAAAAACAGCAAGGGAACAAAAATATTTATGTTTACTAGCAGAGTACCTCCCAATAGTTCATTGTGGTAACGTTTATTATAATATTCATAAATCACATTGAACATCCATACTAATATTATAAATGCGAAAGTGTGTTTGTTTGTTTGTTTGTCCTTCTTTCACGTCGCAACAGAGCGTCGGCATGGCATGATTTTTTGTATGGTGATAGTTCGGTGGCTGTAGAGTGACATAGGTTACTTTTTTCTGCGAAAAAACATCTCTTTCCCGTGGGAAAATAGAATATGTTGCAAAAGTTTGTCCTTTTTTCACGTCGCAACAGAGCGTCGGCATGGCATGAATTTTGGACAACTAAATTCGAGGCGGTCTAATTAGACCCAAATGTTCAATAGTAATTCAAAATGGCGCGCACAATTAACTAAACTTTAGGCCTTCAAGTCCAAACACCGGCCGCTCGCAACCGTATACCAGTCACAAACAATACTTAAAACGGTCACAACAATAATTATATGATTCCAGCCTCTTTATCACGAACAAAAAAATTAAGATAACACTGTAAGAGGTTCGCGACGTATAATCGACCCGGGCGTTGCGCAAATAAACTCAAGAATACTATATAACTGGGGATAGTTCGGTGGCTGTAGAGTGACATAGGCTACTTTTTCCGCGGAAATACATCTGATTCCCGTGGAAAAATCGAATATGTTGCACAAGTTTGTCCTTCTTTCACGTCGCAACAGAGCGTCAGCATGGCATGATTTTTGTATGGGGATAGTTCGGTGGCTGTAGAGTGACATAGGCTACTTTTTTCAGCGGAAAAACATATCATTCTCGTGGGAAAATCGAATATGTTGCAAAATTAAATTCAGCTAGGTGGCACCACCGTGATTCTACAAGACGGACGACGGTACGATGGACGAACATAGAAGGTCAGAATGTCTGGATTATTATGTCTTTTTACCAAAATTAAGATAAAAAATGTATGGATCTGTATTTATCCACGCAGGACCGGGAAGAGAGCGATAAAAAACATAAAATTCACCAGCTGATTTTCTTCAAACGTTTTGGTGCATTGTAATTCACAGAATAGGCGATAACCTCGCAGACGATATTAAGTAATCCGTTGATGCTCTGCCTTCCCCCGCAATGGTTACAGGCGTGATTATAAGTATGGATCAGAAATATTATCACCATCTGTCACGCTTTCACCCTTAACTATTACTTAACTGTGGTAGAAACAGTTCTTAGTAAGCCTTATTAATAAGCCTTAATAATATTTATTGAACGGAAATGAATACAGTTCTTATATGAGGTTATGAATGAATCAGTATTACAATAAGAAAAATTGTGCAAAATTATAAGAAAAATATTTTTTGAGAGTTCTTATTAATGCTCTTATTAAGTTCTTATTAATGGGTATGGAGACAGCCATGTATGTTTGCAGCACAATAAAACCGTGTTCATTTTTCAACAGGATGTGCCTGCTCCAGGCCCCGCACCCCGCTTCAGGGTGGAAGTGATGGACCCGGTGGCGGCACGTCAACGACGAGTCGCTTTTATAGGCAAGGGTGACAAACGAGCACACAGTCCACCCGATTGTAAATGGTTGCAGCGGCCCTTAGACATCTATATCTATCCCAACCTGACCTGTGAGGACTAAGATGGAATGCCTCGTTTCCAGTAAAAAGGGTCTCCGGTCTCCTCCTCCTCCTCGTCTTTTTTTATAGGTAAGGGTGACAAACGAGCACTCAGTCCACCTGATGGTAAGTGTTCGAGCACACAGTCCACCTGATGGTAAGTGGATGCACTGGCCCTAAGACATCTACATCTATCCCAACCTGACCTGTGAGGACTAAGATGGAATGTCTCGTTTCCAGTAAAAAGGGTCTCCGGTCTCCTCCTCGTCCTCAGTAGCGGGTTCAAGAAGGATATGAATGGCTATGAATGTTGACTGAAAGAATGTGAACTGAAAGAATGTTTTGTTTGGAAAGAAAAATTGTACAAAAAGGGTTATTATAATATAAATGAATACATAATTGAAAATAACCACTGGGAAGTGGTGATCGCCACCATGCTGGTTCTATAAAAATTCATTCAAAAATTGTAAAAATATAAATTTATTGTAAATTCAATATAAAATCATTACAAAAAGTCAAACAGGTGAATTTGATTATTGCCGACTACATTGCAAAAAAATATCGATAAATATACCAGCGTCGCCACATCACTATTTGCTCCATACATTTCTTCAGATTTATTTTATTTGTTGTATTTTGTGTTTTGTGCATTGAATTGTATACGTTTATCGCAAATAACAATATAAATGAGCTATTCAAAACATATTTCATTTGAGTCGAAACATATTTGAGTGTGTTATATGTGGATTTATGCTGACAAAGTTCCGTTTTCGTGGATGAGTAAGAAATGTGTTATTTTTCCATTTTTATTTATTTTTACTGTAAAATGTAAATAAAAAATAATTTCAAATAATTTGGTTTTATATTTATTTCAAATTCACACAAAATATAAAAGAAATAGTGTTTCAAAATTCATATAAAAAATTGAATTTCGTAAAAAAAGGATTATGTTTGACTCGTATTTATTTGTTTTTTTTGAATGGGTTACGAATAAAAACACATAAAAACATAAAAATATATATATTTCCAAACATTTTCATATAGATTTCTCAAAAAACAAACGTGTAGAATTTATTTCATTAATATTTTCGTGACTAAGAGTGACGTATCTACTAGTACTATGTGTTTAAAGGGTAATTTATGAATTTGATTACAATATCTAACATCTAAACATTATTTTATTCGATATTTTATACATTCAAGAAGAATTCCTGTAAGTTTTATCCATAAATATTGTCTCAAAGTGAAAATATTGTAAAATTTGTAAGTAAGGGAAAATTTTCCGATTTCCGCCATTTTGAGGTCGCGAGCGAACGGGAGTATCAAATTACGTGACCTCGCGAGCTAACGGGTTAACTAATGTATACATAGTTTAAATTGATTCCGCTAGATGTCGTTACAAGGTTTTTAAAACGCGGTAATGAAATGTTTCCTGACATGTACTTAACTCCCGGCGTTGAGCCGCGCGTCAACTTATAGTGCATACGGTACTTATACGCTTAAATTGTTTTTATTTCGTAGTTTATTCGACTATCTGCTTTCGATTTCGGTTGTTTGTTATTTGCTTTGTGATTTGGTTAAGGTTGAATGGATTTATATTGGCTTTCATTTTCGGATTTGTGTATTTTCTTTGATCGGTTTTGTTGATTTGGTTGGTATTCCTTTATACATATTTAGACTCTGGCTTTGATTTTGGATTTTGTTTATTTAGAATCGTGAATTGGTTTTCATTGTTTTAGGTGTTTTAAAAGGAATATTAATAGTATAGATAGTGTATACGGTACCTATCCACTTACTTCTTTTTTCGTTGGTTATATTTATATTGACTACTGCTTTAGATTTCGGTTTTCTGCGATTTGTTTTGTGATTTGGTTTAAGTTGATTCAATTTTTTTGGCTATCGTTTTCGGATTCGTGTTGTGTCTTGAATTGGTTTTGTTGTTTTGATTTTATAAAATATTTAAAAGGAATATTTATTCCTTTTAGATATTTTGGATTTGCTTTAAAAATATATTTAAAAGGAAATTTAACTCCTTTTAGGTATTTTAACGTTTTTTTATAAATAGGTTTTTCGTTATTTCATAATGCCTCGCAAACGTAAATGCAGCCTTTCAAGAGTATCTTCTCAAAGACAAGCGAAAAGATTAGCTCGATCGCTAGAATCTTTAGAAGATGCTGAACTGAGAAGGCAAGAACAAGCAGAGCGTCAGGCTGCTTTTAGAGCATCTGAGACACCTTCTCAACGTCAGAAAAGGCGTCTTGAACAGACAGAGCGTCAGGTTGCTTTAAGAGCTTCCGAAACACCTTCTCAAATTCAGGAAAGGCGTCTTGAATAGGCAGAGCGTCAAGCTACTTTAAGAGCTTCTGAAGCACCTTCTCAAAGTCAGCGAAGGCGTCTTGAACAGGCAGAGCGTCAAGCTACTTTAAGAGCTACTGAAACACCTGCTGAAAGTCAGCAAAGGCATCTTGAACAGGCAGAGCGTCAATCTACTTTAAGAGCTACTGAAACACCTACTCAAACTCAGCAAAGGCTATTCGAACAAGCGAAACGTCAGGCCGCCTTAAGAGCCGCGGAACCACCTGATGAAACTCAACACAGACTCCCCGCCCGTTGCCCGCCGTTACCATTGCTGCCACTGTAGCCAGGAATATCGGGGCCGCCGGGGACTGTGGCCGTTTATTTGTGCCTTTGCTCATGGGAGGCCATGCCATAGTTGCCACTCTTGGCGTTACCAGGAAGATGCTACTACCCACCTCCTGCCTATTTACCTCTGTCTCCTCTTAGACCCACACACTTAAGCGAAGATATGCGGTAGTGTATATTATTAACCGCCACGACACAGCATAAAGTTGATCTCAGTGTAATGCATACATACTGATATGCTGCGCAGTCTGATGTACATTTTTGGCAATCAAATAATTTAACCTTTACGACATTACTGTACTTAATAGATTATTAAAATAATATATTTAATCGTGTATTTATATTATTTACCTTCCAGCCTCTATTTATAAGATACGATCCAAACCCGATCCCAGGTTTGTGTGGCTTATATCCTCTATACTTGAGCGAGCATGCCGTCTCTAATACACGATGGCGTATTTTACCAATCCAAGGTCCAGATCTAACAAGATTTGAACAAGTAGGACAACCTGTTCAGGTGGGCTACTATCTTAATTATATTTTAAAAGTGCTGCGGTTTACAGGAAGATCATCAGAGAGGAAATATTCGTTGTAACAAAATTTTATTTTAAAACACTTACTAATCGCTCGATACAATGTTACTGCAGTTAAATTATTGTATCACTTTATTTGCAGGTTAACTCTGATATTGTAATCAATCATTGTTCAACAAATGTGAATTTAGGATTAAATATTGGTAGCTGGGCTATGGACTTCCACGGAAAGGTAAGAAGAGATCGGTGAAGATTGTTAAAGAATTTAAAAAACATAACAATATTTTTAACTTTTCAGGTATGTACTCCCCCTGATGAGAACCTGTTTAGATGTATATGGGAGAGAGTTACCAAATAATATTTGGCAAATTTATGTACCTATATCAAATTAATATTATATTGTGATAAATACTTACATTTGAAAAGCTACTGTTAAAATTCTTATTATTCTGTACAGCAATTTTACTGTAAATTCTTGGCAAATATAATCATAATGAGCATGTACTTGAATTAAAAATTATAATGCTCATGATCAGAATCTTTGAATTTTATTACGTTCTATACACTTATAATCCTGTGAGAGTATTCAGATACATAATAAATGGAAAAACATTTACAAAAAAATATTAACAACGGATGCTAACAACACCCGAATTAAACACGAGCCAGAAAATCACCGACAACCATCGTACGGCCGGGCAACGTCAGTATCAAACGATTCAATGGATATAGGTACTATAGTACATTGAGTGCGAGAAAACCACAAACGACTATTTAAAGATAGTATTTTCTTTCCACTTCAAAAGAATGCAAATGCGTCATTTTTTACTTAGTTAAATATTTTTCTTTGTTTCCAAAAATATCTTTTTATTACTTTCAAGTTGACAATAATGGCTTTCGTCCAAAAATAACTTGCAACAAATTTGACGCGTCATTTGTTTCTCACACGGCTGATTCTGTCCTCTCTGGACAAGGAATTTAGTTCGCTCCATATAAATTCTATTTGTGTTTGGAGCAGTATGCATCTACGCCAATACAGTGACAGTTTATTAGTTATTTAGATTATTAGTTAGATGCCCTTCTTGAATAAGCTGGATGGATGAAAAAAAATCTTTTATATTGTGTATTGAATTTCAGAAGATAACAAAAATTATTTTTTTATACAGTTGCTCAATAAGTGGAGTATTGCAGGGACGTATAGCGTTGGGATGTGAGCTATTACATACTTGAGCTTTTTCTTTACCTTTTTCCGAACTCGTGCGTTCTCTTTCAAAATAATGTCTATTAAAAAGAAAAAAAAAACAACCACGAAGTATTTAGTAAAAAAATTTATAGAAGTTTTTATGATTCACGCAAATATTTCTAAAAAGAAGCTAATAATTTGTTTCAATATCAGATTTAATGATTTGATTCAATGAGTTAGGTTAGGTTTCATTTCATTTCATCTCATTAAATTTCATTGATTTTATTTTTTTGATAAATTTCATTCTCATATCAATAAAAAAAAACTACTGAAGACTTGGCTGTATGGGCAGAGTTCCCTTTGCTTACCCAGAATGGTTGAAGAAAACAAAAAATCTCTGCTTATATTCTTTTAAGGTTGGCACCATTTTCCAAAAATGTTCTTTGTGAGTTTAGTTGTTTGTTGCACAAAATGAGTAATTTCGACGATATTTTATTTGAATTAACACCACCGGAACTAAGTATGATTCCACAAAATGCTTCGGAAAACATTTTACCGGAAAAGTCAAAAAGTCACTACATATCTTCATACGACGAATTTATTGCTTGGAGAGAAGAGAAAAAAGCAAATAGTTTTCCAGAAAAAATATGTTGGTATACTTCTTCGAACTCTCAGCTAAATTAAAACCTTCTACGTTATGGTCGAGGTTTTCGATGATAAAAAGTATGCTGGAAATAAGGAACAACGTGGATATAACAGAATACCCAAAACTAAATGCTTTCTTAAAACGACAATCCGACGGTTATACAATTAAAAAGTCGAAAATATTAACATCGAATGAAGTGGAAAGGTTTTTGAACGAAACTCCCGATGATCGTTATTTTTTTTATAGAAGAGGGGGCAAACGAGCATGCGGCTCACCTAATTTTAAGTGACTACCGCCGCCCATGATCAACCGCAATACCAGGGGAATTGCTAGTGCGTTGCCGGCCCTTTAGAAAGGAGTAAGCTCTTTTCTTGAAGGTCCCCAAGTTGTATAGGTCCGGAAAAATGCCACTGATAAACTATTCCACAGAGAGGTTGTACGCGGAAGAAAACTCCTTTTGAAACGTACAGTGGTGGACCGCCAAGCATCCAGATAGTGTGGATGGTATCGGGACGTTTGCCGCGTAGTGCGTTCACGAAATTTGGTGGCTGGGATTAATCCGAACAATTCCTCAGAGCACTCTCCATGGTATATGCGAAAGAAAATGCAAAGAGATGCAACATCACGAAATTTTTAAGATACTGCTGTTTATGGTGCGGTGTAAATGCCTCCACGATACAGAGGTAAATCCTTTTGTTGGAGTAATGTTTTGTGAAGGAATAAATAAATAAAAATCGATCATTACCAAATATATACCCATTATTATTACTTTTACGATGTAATTGATCTAAATGAATTGGTAGTAGAACATACATATAGTTGTTCAGACAGCTAGACATATTCAGCAAAACATAAAAAGAAATTACTATTTTTATTATACGTAATAACATGAATTATTCATTGAATAAAACTATTATTTACGGATTTTATCGCGTTTAATTACTTTAATTTATTTTTATTATTATCCCGACGTTTCGGGTGCTTTACAGCACCCATGGTCACGGGGGGGACAAATAAATTAAACAAATAAATTAAAAATAAATTAAAGTAATTAAACACGATAAAATCCGGAAATAATAGTTTTATTCAATGTGTAGTGTTCGCGTAAATTTAAGAAATCATTATATGAATTATTCATTGTGAAGTGGTTACCGCCCACCAGCAAGCTGTAAAAACAGCAAGGGAACAAAAATATTTATGTTTACTAGCAGAGTACCTCCCAATAGTTCATTGTGGTAACGTTTATTATAATATTCATAAATCACATTGAACATCCATACTAATATTATAAATGCGAAAGTGTGTTTGTTTGTTTGTTTGTCCTTCTTTCACGTCGCAACAGAGCGTCGGTATGGCATGATTTTTTGTATGGTGATAGTTCGGTGGCTGTAGAGTGACATAGGTTACTTTTTTCTGCGAAAAAACATCTCTTTCCCGTGGGAAAATAGAATATGTTGCAAAAGTTTGTCCTTTTTTCACGTCGCAACAGAGCGTCGGCATGGCATGAATTTTGGACAACTAAATTCGAGGCGGTCTAATTAGACCCAAATGTTCAATAGTAATTCAAAATGGCGCGCACAATTAACTAAACTTTAGGCCTTCAAGTCCAAACACCGGCCGCTCGCAACCGTATACCAGTCACAAACAATACTTAAAACGGTTACAACAATAATTATATGATTCCAGCCTCGTTATCACGAACAAAAAAAATTAAGATAACACTGTAAGAGGCTCGCGACGTATAATCGACCCGGGCGTTGCGCAAATAAACTCAAGAATACTATATAACTGGGGATAGTTCGGTGGCTGTAGAGTGACATAGGCTACTTTTTCCGCGGAAATACATCTGATTCCCGTGGAAAAATCGAATATGTTGCACAAGTTTGTCCTTCTTTCACGCCGCAACAGAGCGTCGGCATGACATGATGTATGGGGATAGTTCGGTGGCTGTAGAGTGACATAGGCTACTTTTTTCAGCGGAAAAACATATCATTCTCGTGGGAAAATCGAATATGTTGCAAAATTAAATTCAGCTAGGTGGCACCACCGTGATTCTACAAGACGGACGACGGTACGATGGACGAACACAGAAGGTCAGAATGTCTGGATTATTATGTCTTTTTACCAAAATTAAGATAAAAAATGTATGGATCTGTATTTATCCACGCAGGACCGGGAAGAGAGCGATAAAAAACATAAAATTCACCAGCTGATTTTCTTCAAACGTTTTGGTGCATTGTAATTCACAGAATAGGCGATAACCTCGCAGACGATATTAAGTAATCCGTTGATGCTCTGCCTTCCCCCGCAATGGTTACAGGCGTGATTATAAGTATGGATCAGAAATATTATCACCATCTGTCACGCTTTCACCCTTAACTATTACTTAACTGTGGTAGAAACAGTTCTTAGTAAGCCTTATTAATAAGCCTTAATAATATTTATTGAACGGAAATGAATACAGTTCTTATATGAGGTTATGAATGAATCAGTATTACAATAAGAAAAATTGTGCAAAATTATAAGAAAAATATTTTTTGAGAGTTCTTATTAATGCTCTTATTAAGTTCTTATTAATGGGTATGGAGACAGCCATGTATGTTTGCAGCACAATAAAACCGTGTTCATTTTTCAACAGGATGTGCCTGCTCCAGGCCCCGCACCCCGCTTCAGGGTGGAAGTGATGGACCCGGTGGCGGCACGTCAACGACGAGTCGCTTTTATAGGCAAGGGTGACAAATGAGCACACAGTCCACCCGATTGTAAATGGTTGCAGCGGCCCTTAGACATCTATATCTATCCCAACCTGACCTGTGAGGACTAAGATGGAATGCCTCGTTTCCAGTAAAAAGGGTCTCCGGTCTCCTCCTCCTCCTCGTCTTTTTTTATAGGTAAGGGTGACAAACGAGCACTCAGTCCACCTGATGGTAAGTGTTCGAGCACACAGTCCACCTGATGGTAAGTGGTTGCACTGGCCCTAAGACATCTACATCTATCCCAACCTGACCTGTGAGGACTAAGATGGAATGTCTCGTTTCCAGTAAAAAGGGTCTCCGGTCTCCTCCTCGTCCTCAGTAGCGGGTTCAAGAAGGATATGAATGGCTATGAATGTTGACTGAAAGAATGTGAACTGAAAGAATGTTTTGTTTGGAAAGAAAAATTGTACAAAAAGGGTTATTATAATATAAATGAATACATAATTGAAAATAACCACTGGGAAGTGGTGATCGCCACCATGCTGGTTCTATAAAAATTCATTCAAAAATTGTAAAAATATAAATTTATTGTAAATTCAATATAAAATCATTACAAAAAGTCAAACAGGTGAATTTGATTATTGCCGACTACATTGCAAAAAAATATCGATAAATATACCAGCGTCGCCACATCACTATTTGCTCCATAGATTTCTTCAAATTTATTTTATTTGTTGTATTTTGTGTTTTGTGCATTGAATTGTATACGTTTATCGCAAATAACAATATAAATGAGCTATTCAAAACATATTTCATTTGAGTCGAAACATATT